CGTGCCCGATAATTTCGTTGTAGATCAACGGTGACGGAGACTTCAAGTTGAAAAACTCATTCAGTAAACACTGATCTAATAACAAAGAATCATCATCATCCAGAGAGTTACTAATCCCCTCGCTTTCCGCACCCACCGGCTCAACCGGTCTCCAGTCACCTGCCCACTTGGTAGCACTAGCACTAGCAGCAGTAATTCTTCTTGTCGTAGAGCTGCTTTCTTTGAACTGATCATTCTGTTGCGGCGGTTGGTGCTTGTCCTTAAACCTCAGAACAGAGGTCGGAGAGCAGAGGTTGTTGTTCTCCGACTCCTTCCCAGAATCATATCCGGAAACCGACGTGGCATGCACCTCCGCTAATTCCTCCTCAGTAGTAGTATAATCCGGTCTCTCCGGCTCCGGCGGCTTTATAAAATTCGTCAAAGCATCGGGCCCGCGTATTTGAATCGCGGCTCTATCGTAAACCATAGCAGCTTCCTCAGCAGTATCATATGTCCCCAACCAAATTCTAGCCTTCCTCGCCGGGTCCCGAATCTCCGCGGCCCATTTCCCCCACGGCCGCTGCCGCACGCCGCGGTACTTTTTAACATTTCCCACAGCTTCACCGGCAGTGCTATTACTACCAGTACAGCAGTTGGGATTAATAAAATTGGAGAGCGGCCTCTTTTTCTTCTTCGGCGTCGCTTTGGTCTTCATCAGGTCGTCCTTCACGGCATTCTTGACCTCGTCGACGAAAGTAGCCTTGCGGGGGCATGAATATTTTTTCTTTTCAATAACGATCTCGCTAAGCAGCTTCTTGATTCGGGGAGGCCGGAAAACGGGCGACACGAGGCGGCCATCGTCGTCGTCGTCGCCGGAGGAATCGGTGGCATCGCAATCGGTGAACTGTATTCTGACAACGCGAGGCATGTTTATGGCGGTGTTATCTAGTATTTTTCGGTGAACTGTTTTTCTCAAGGGTCGAGATAATTTGTCAGTGTCCATTCTTGAAGAATTTGTAACCGATGATGGAATCGAAGAATTCAATAGGAATTCAATAGGAGGATTCAAAAGAACAAAATAAAAGAAGAAACTCAACGACTAGTAAGTGTAGAATTGATTGAGAAAAGAGAAAGAAGGAAAAAAAATGGCAAAAGAGTGTGGAATTGAATGGTTTGTGGCAAAAGTGAGTGGCGATTAGAAGAGAGAGTTTTAAAGAGAGAGAAAGATTCAGAGAATCAGAGTCGTATATAAAGACTCTCAACTTCAACTGAGGACTGAGGAGGTGGGAGTTTTGTATAGAAAATCCCTATTCTTATTCTTGATTCCTGGGGTTGGGGGGGGGGGGGGGGTGTTCAGGTCAATTAACATTTTATTTTATTTATTTAGATTTTCTTACTTTTTGGGTTAAGATTTTCTTCGTGAATTAAGGTTTCTGTTTAATTTGAGTTATTATGGGACTTTTATTCTCTTTGCAGTTGCTGCTGCTGCTGCTGCTGCTGCTATTTTCATGGGATGGATTAGTAGTGTTTTGTTTGCTAATAATTTGTTTGTTTACGTGGTAATAGGCTAAAGGAAGGAGTTGATGAGCCAACGTAGTTGTAGAAATTGTAGGCACCGACTAAACGAAGGAGTTGAGAGATTCTCCCCAGCGACTCGCCGCATCCCGATTTCGACGACTTATACTTTTACAGGTGGCCACAGTGGACCCGGTAAACGGCCTTGATTTAGAGATAAAAAATACGGCCAATTGGCCGGCCCCACTCTCCGGTTCTAAATTAAGTCAAGCTAATCTATTCTCAATTAGTATTTTGACGAAATTGAGTTTCAAAAATCGTTTGTTTTATTTTGTGTCCTTTTCAATCTTTAGAGCTCTTCTTTTTAGCTTTACACCATGGATTATTTCCTTTCAAGCATGACTGCGTAACCTTTTCGAGGAATTGTTGGTTTAGCAGGCTTAAGTAACGCAAGGCATCTCATGTGAACTTGCTGATGGAATTTCTTTTCTTGTAACTCTAAATTTACCATTTCAGCATCGTTAGATAGTAGTGTTTAACAGACGATCAATTTGAATATCCTTTTTTTTAAAAAAATTTGAATCAATAATTTGAATGTTTGGCATGAAATCTGAATGGTCCCCGTCAGATAAATACTGAACTGTTACTAGATTTAGAGGTTTTGAATTCAAATCTTTCTTTCCCTTTTCCATTTTTTAAATTTCACTCCTCTTATCTCTTGTTGGGAAAATATTCTTTTTTTTTTTCAGCTTTAATATAGTGATACGCTATTTGATTTTCAAACTCATAATTGATACTTCCATAACATGCATGCTCGATTAAATTGTCAATCATAATTGTACGTCTGAGATTTGTCTAAAGCATTAGTCCATACATACTCCCTCCATGCCATTTTAATAGGTTTAGTTTTTTTTTTCTCACACAATTTTTAAAAAGGTTTAATTTTGTTGGAAGAATAAATCTAATTTACTATCTTCCTAAATTACGCTTATATTAGATGGAGTATGACTAATTAACTTTATATTAAATAAATTAGGCTATACTCAATAATAATCTACATTAAATAAGCACATTTTAGAGAAGTTACGAGTTAACTATATTTTTTAATTGAAAAATGAACTATAATTTGGAACGGACCAAAAAGGAAAACAAGCCTAAGATGGGGAAAGGACGGTCATATCATGTGGTTTGGGAGGAGGAAGTGTAAAAGAAAATTCTAGTTTGAACCCTTCCACTTACATTTTTTTTAAAAAAAAATTTAAACAAAAAGGCTAACAAAGTTATATCGGTTGACTACTTGACATAATAACTTCTCAATTTCTTGCATACCGCATCCATGAAAATTACAACTTGCTTTTTTATTATGTCGTGTGTCTATTAGGTTTCAACTAACTGAGAGAACGGATAAATCACAAAAAAAAAAATGGAAAACGAATAGTAGTAAAAAAGGTTTGGTTATTATTCTGATTGCGCCACCATTTCATTCATTCATCCATTCATTCATTCATAATTGTTATTAACTGTACATGGAAGTTTGCTGAAGATTTGATTCTTGCACGCCAAGCTCTATTGTAGTTAAAATTAGCTCTAAATAAATTAATGTGCCTGAACGTTTAACTGAATCGCAAAGGGGAACGCAAAATCATAATCCCACGTACGTATCATCAATACCTAAATGCCAATCCCACACTTTAAAACATTTATTAATTATCCATAAAACGGAAGAAAAAATAAAGGTCAGAAATTTAAATATAAGACATGATGATACAAAAATGGCTAGTGAATAGTGATAATGCCACAGCCCTTTTTTTTTTTTCTTTAATTGATAAATTTATCCTTTGCAAAGTGTATCTAAAACTCTCTTGATTAGTGAAAGGTAATAATTATCACATTAATAGAAATTTGCCGCCGTGGAATCGGTTTTTTTTTTTAATCCATTTTCCAACAAGACTGGTGGAATCCAATTAATATACTACTGGATTGACATCATCATCATCATCATCATCATCCAGGTTGTACTTTTGTAGTGTGCGTCAAAATGCTTGGGCTTCAAGCAAAGGGAAAACATAGGTCACAACATCGGAGAGAACAAAAAAGAAAGGCAAAAAAAAATAAATAAAAATGACAGCCACATTTTTACTGTTTCTCACCACGTGAATCCTCCTGCCTGCCCCCAAAATGGCCCGTCCTCTAGTGTTGAATTGCGCCATGTATCATGATAACATCCATCTACTACTACTGATAGTAATCAATCAGGACGCATGCATGCTCATCACCATCATCTTTATTGTGAAATATTTATTTTAAGGAAGAATCGTCACTCACATTTCACTGTATAAATTTTGTTCATCATTTATTTTTAAAATAGTAATTTGCGTCGTCTTTTATAAATTTAAGTCGATAAATTTAGTTTCAACTTAGATTTTTAATCACTTTTTATTGTGAATCCATCATGTGATTTACGCGTAGTCAATTTTAGGGTTAAAAGGCTAAATCACATTTGCAATTAAACAAATTATTCGATCCATATTTATTTTTACCATTAAAAAATAGAAATTGACCCAAACCATATTATTTTTTCTCATAAAAAAAACTAGAATTAGACCAAATTCACATTTATTTTTGCCACTAAAAAAGTTGAATATGGCCTTTTTATACAAAAAGAAAAAAAAAAGATTGCATATGGATCATATGGTGATTTCAGGCTAAAAAGTGGTCAAAAAATTAGGCCTTATTTGGATTGCGATTTTACGTAGAAAAATTTCTTTGACATATTTCCCAATCACTTTTTTACTCACATATATCATATCACTACAGTATATTTTTCTACAAAATATTTGCAATCCAAACGAGCTCTTATGTTGGTACCAAAATTTACTAATTTGAATTTGTAAGGGATGCAAAGTTACTAAAAGTTGAAACTGATTTTTTGAAAAGCTAATTACGTAATTACGTAATTTCTAAGGGTGCAGGTTCTAATAATTGATTTTCTGCCATCTTGTTGGAACGAGGAGAGCATAGGACAGCAAAGTGACAACTGATTATAAGTTAGATATGTCATATGTAACACATTATCATAATGATGGTGAGAGTAATACAATCAATAAATTAACTCACAAATTGCAAGTAGCAAAAACTCTAGAAGCTGTGAAAATTTTGGAACACTATGAAATTTTTTTTTTTTTTTTTCATAATGTGGAAGTCTAGGAATATATACAATGATAGTACATAATGTTTGTTTAATGGAGAGCTAGTCTTAAAATATCAGTTATGACGTGTACACAATATGATTGGAGGCCAAGGTTCTGTACGAACTACTTAAAATTGAATAATGTAGTAGGGGTTTCTGAGGTTTGTGGGGGTTTTTATCCCTCAGTAGCAGCAGCCTTACAGGCTTCCCTATTCTATCTATCCCACATCGTTCTTGGGGGTTAAGGATTGGGTAGTTAAGCTAAAAATGAAATATGGCTGTTCAGTAAACGGCAAAATCCATGAGTTACAATCAACAGCTCCTAAAACTATCAGAAGCATGGACATACCTTGGGAGGCTTGAATGGATAATCAGGAGGAAAGTGAATAGTGACCAAAAATACTCCCCCAGCATAAGGACTATCAGGAGGGCCCATTATTGTAGCTTGCCAGTGAAACATGTCCTCAGCAACAGGACCTGTAAATTTACAATATACAAGCGGAAAACACATGTTAATCCTCTTCTCTTGAAAGAGTTTTCAAGCAAAAAACAGACCATCGCGTTCTCCAGGACAAGGATGTAAAGACCAGGATGTGGAAAGCATTCGGCCATGGAATGCATAGATAATAAAATCTTTGATGCCTAAAATTTGAAGTGCTCAATCATATACCATTTACTGCAATAAAATATCACTTTATAGTTCAACCAAGAATAGAATTAACTTACAGCCTAAAAGTTTCTTTGAAAAAAAAAAATACAGTAACAGACTAAGCAAGAAGATTAGCAATCTTCGGTTAAAATGACATAAGACTAACTAAGCCACTTTTCAAATATCAGTAATATCAATCACATTGACAAAATCAACTTTGAAATTCATTTTAACCATGTAAGATGTAATTAAACCAATCCTATATGATTATGTCTTACAGATATACTTTCAGATTACCTGAACACAGATTTTTAAAATTACCGACTCATCACATAAAATACCAATACGTCTACTCAATGAAAAATTTTGAAGTTATATTGCTCCTTGCACTATCAAACGTACACAGAACCAGATGCTTTCACATCCCACAATGAAAACCAGTAACTAATATGTGTTTAGTGACTTAAAATGGCATTAAAGTGCCCATTAACCACAGAGAAAAGAAACCAAACAAACAGTGCAAACCCTCATATTCAAACACAATGACCTTGTTCCATATCTTAGCCCTGTAAGTTCCCAAATATCAAATGGAAACACACAAAGAACAAGTCTGGTTATATCAATTTATGGAAACAACTTAGCCATAGTATTCCTCAAATGTTACCTTGTAATCTCTACACTAGGGCATCCAACAAGAAAGGAGGAAGGAGGGAGGAATGGAGGGAGAGAGAGAACTTATGTTTTTACTTAACAAAAGTTATAACACTTTGCTTCTTGCAGCTCATAGCAAAGGAAAGAAGGAACAACTATATGTGCTTATCTGTTGCCTGAGGTGTTTTAGAGTATCCAGCCACAATCCACGATATAAAAATATTTGTACATCATCAAGACCTAAAGGATAGTTGTTTATCTATTGGGTGTCAAAGCAATTACATCAATCACCAGCAGTGATGTTCTTTTGGCTCTGAAAAATGATAGTGCATATTGGTTGTATGTCTTGCTAATTTGCAAACATCACAACCACTTCAATCGATAGTGATTAAGCAAGTACAGTCCTTGTAAGTATGCCTTACTGTTGGTTTGTGGGTTTTAACACCTTTTGTTCTAATAATGTGAAAAGATGGAGGGAAGTACAAAATTGAAGAACAATTTTGAGCAAGATTTCAACATGCAACATTTGCACATTTCGAGAACAATTTTTAACAAGATTTCAATGCTACCACAAAGTAACCAGCTTATACCAAGAGCATCCACATAGCACAAGTTTGCCCCGCTATTGGCATAGTTTTGGCATCTAAAGACAATTTGTTCTAGAATAGTTTTGAAGACAGGTCATAAAAGGTCATCCTACGCATTTTAATTATGAATAGGGTAATGAACATGTGCTCTCGCGAAAACAATCTAAAAAACCATAAAGCAAAAGATTTAGCAGTACAAGCAAAAACTAGAACACTTACTGTTCATCGACTTTATTTTCTACCACTCCATTTAAGTTTCCATTCGTAAAACCAATATGTCCAACAAATAATTGACCTCCATCTTCCCCGGTAACAACAACTTCATGCAAAGACTAATAACCACACACGAAATCCAAAAGCCTCAAAGTTTACAACCTGATCCATACATGTAGTTCATGTATGTTCATCTGCAATTAGATTCAGCGTCAAATTCAAATTGCTATTCCTTCGGGAGAAAAAGGGAAACACATAAACGATCCCATTTTTACACAAAACTAACAGACAAGAAGCACAGAATTTCCTTCACATACCACAATGTCAAACAACAAAAGCAAGTCGACCCAAATATCAGACGTACAAAACATGCAATGAAAGTGGAAACTTGTAACGTACCAATACATCCTGCCACAACACATCTAGACTACAGATATAGAAAGATCAAAAAGGGGTGATAGAGATACCGGCGCTACAAGACGTAGGAGGATCTTTCTGGAGATCCTTCAGCTCTTTCAAGATTCTTTTTGAAGCCATCCTACGGATTCAACCCCACCCACCAGTCCTGCAGATCTGACAGATGCATAAAAAGCGGAAAACAAAAGCAGAGAAGTTGCAAAATATAACAAATCCAAACACCCACAAACAAACAAATATACTACTATAATATGGGTTCTTTACAACTCTGAGCTTTAACAAACCTGATTGTGATTGTGATTTGGAGATGGGATATGAGTGCAGAGATAAATTACTCGTACCTTGTCCAAGCTGCCGATTTTGACTCTCAAAGGTTGTGAATATTAGTGCCAGCAGACTTCTGATTTTCTTATTTTGAATTTTATTTTGTTATTCTCTTTTGTTTTCTCAGATGAAGGAAAAACTGATGGTTGAGCTTTATTTGATTCGACGTGGGAGCGAATTCGGATCCAGCTGGGCAGCTCTGACTGGTGGGATGGGATTCCTTTGTGCCATGGGGCCCCGACCCGCCCGGGATTTCGGATTCACACACGTTATGTGTATTTCCAAATTCCGCCCCCTTTTCTCCTTCCTTTTCCTTTTCCCTTTCTGTTCTGTTACCTTGCAAATGAGCGCTCATTTCTTCTTCTATCAACACATTTCCAAATGCCCTAGTTCGAGTGGATCGGTGCCCCTCTTTAGGGTATGTCGACCACGGTTCGAGTCCCAAGAATATCTCGCTGGGAGTTCAGGTTGGGCGCCTTTCCCCATGCCCTAGGAGATTAGTCGGGCCTTGCGGCCCGGACACCCCTAGATGAAAAAAAAAAAAAATCAACACATTTCCAAATGGTCTGGTGTAAGAGCAATTTGTGAGAACTATTCTTATTTGTATTTGGACCCCAATATTTTCTTCCTTATACGATCTTCTCGAAAAGAATTTTTAGTAGTCAGACACTCTATGCATATATGTCCAAATAGCAATTCCACCCGTGATGTTTATATCTCTCCATCCATATAACACTCAAATTTTCACCTCTAATTCTTCCATTTGTCACCGGCGAAATATATTGAGGTGTTTCTGAAATGAACAAAGGGTCACATTAACAAGACTAAAGTGAACAAATTTTTAAGAAAAGTATGGCTCTCATAAAAAACTACGAGTGGTTTTTTTTTTTGGTAGCACTAGCTAAAATAGCATAGTCCATCTTTCGAGCATTCCAATCTTTTTTTGTTGGGGTTCAAATTTCTAGCACTACAATCACTGCTATGGAGTGTTAAAGTCAATACGGTGGTGCTTCACTGCTTGCATTGCATGTAGTGATGGTTAGGACTTGGGAAAATCAATTCCAAAACTTTGGACCATGGATAGTTTCGTTATCAAACTTTTTGACGAAATGCATTTAGTATACGAACTATTAAATTTTTATCAATTTCATTCTCAAATGAAATATTAATCAATTTGAATGAAAATTGTGCATGTAATGGGCATGAACTTGTTACATAAAAAGCTTGCACGATTTAAAATCAATAAAATAAAAATGGCTATCTTTACTTTCCCAACTCTAATACCTTTCTTCCCAACTCCGTGCGAATTGGTTAATTTCCCGTTTGAGGATGAAATTAGTCAAAAATTGATAGTTCAAATATTACATGTGTTGTGCCAGAAAAATTTGAAAACGAAATGTGTTTATGGCCCAAAGCTTAAGCATGAAAACTAGCATTTTTCCTTTAGGACTTCCTTTATTTTTATCTATTATTTAGTTATATCGTATTCTTAGAGTCGCTTTTTATAAGTGAATTTCTTAAGAAATTCTTCATTTTCTAAGTTCTTAACATTTTTATGCCAAAGATCATTAAAATTTCGATTTAGAAGCATGAATGGGATTGAAAATCGAGCCCGCACCGACACCGACACCGACACCGTCTTCAAAAACCAGTGCACAATAGAGCTAAGCGCACCATAGAGAGGATCTCAAATTCTCAGTACCCCTTCTAGCAAAAGTATAGCAAATAAAGCTATGACTGGAGTGCATAAGAAATAATCTCTTGTAGGTCTTAATTTGGCGTTTGGCAGAAGTCGGTTGATTCTCAAGAACACAAATCCATCCAAGGGTTTGTGGCATTCTGTGGAAGCCGCAAGTACAAAGCATGATCAATGTCGCCAGCAGAGGTCTCCAGATCATTTATTATTTCATAAAAATTAAGGAAGCCGGTAATACAGCACATACGTAGCTTGACGAGGTAGCAATTTCCTTCTTCATCTTAAAGAGTCCTTTTCCATGGATGTCAGCTGAGGAAGAAATAGTAACAACTATCATAAGCTGGAAAGTTGGTTTTTCAGTTTAGCTCACCCTGCTTATCGTCATATCTCAACCTAATTCCCTTTTCCTTCCTTCAGAGGGAGAAAAGAAGTGATAACAATCTGCAGTCTCTTGTCCAAAATCTAAGGAACCCAATAACAAATAATTTACCATACGTAGGTAGTTTCTTCACTAGACCAATGCCAAACAGCCAAATGATCAGTCTGCAGTAGTTATAAGAAGTACTTAATATGATTTTCCATACAGCAGAGGTGAACACTAAAGCCTATGGAATATCACTATTTAATTAAGAAGCCAACACTGGATAATTTCCAAGGGTGATACCCGGCCCATGCTAAGCAAAACTAGGTACTTGTAATAACTAGTAGTAGTAACATATGGGTTCAAGTGTGAGAAGCATAGGATCAATGCAATGCAATGCAATGTGCTTCAACCATAACACCAGGCTGTATGTGAAGATTGGCAATAAGGGTGTGGCCATCATCAGTAAGTAAACTTGGCTTTCGACAAATTTCCGGCATCTTGAGATCACATGATGAGGTCCATGATCAAGTTCAAGTTAGTATATATTAATCCTGTCAAGAAGCAAAACAAATTTGGACTAATCCTTGTTAGTACTAATATTTAAAAGAAAAAAGAAGTCTACAAATCATCTATTTTGACTTTGCCAGCTGTGTGTGCCTCAACCAGAATGATTAGTGGATGACTGTAGGTATTATTAACCTGTGACAATCATTTTCTCAAAGTACCCAAATTAAATAGTAAGGACATCACATCAACCAGTAAATTTCCAAGAAAGAAGCCATGCAAACAAATTGTCATGCGTTGGCAGGGAGAATGGACCATGAAAGGTACATCCTCCCGAGTAACGCAAGACGTGCACACTCCCGTGGCTTCTTTGCTCTAAATTGTGGTCTAAAGTTCACAAACATCCATCAATTACACATTTTAAAGGGCTTTGAATTCGTGTTATTAGGACTCAAATTTTCCACAGAAGTCAAGAGTTTTGTTTGGTTTGTTACGATGCTATGTCAGTTCTTAAATGCCTTGTACTTGTAGTATGAAACAAATCTACCTTGATCAAGACCGCAAAAACTGTGAGAACTTTGGGAAGCTTGTACTTACAGGCGGAATACAAAAACCTTGCATTTGGGCATGGCACCTTCCTGAATGTGCTTCAAACTGGAGGCTTCGCATGCTAGTTTGACCTCAACGGTGCCAATTTTCAGTCCGCTTAAAACCATCCCAATCCCAGTTCTGACCTCCACATGAGTCATTAAGCTCTTGGCCCTGATTCTATCCGTAACCTTCTTCACACTTGAACCATCCAGAGGCAGATTCCCCTTCATGGAAAACTTGGCAACCCTCACATTATTTGGCTCTTGAACGAACCCTGGCACTGTGTCTTGACCAAGCTCCCCTGAAGCAATGTCATCACTGTACCAGGACAGGGCTATCCTGTCATACACCATCCTGATGTTCGTATTTGCGTTCTTGAACTCCAAGCTGGCAGACATTTTTGAATGGAGTGTTGGGCCATCAGCGGTGCTGGTGATGTTGAATTCGTTGACCTGGAAAGATTTCAGGGAGAAAAGGGGGGCTCTGGGCTCGTACCAAAGGTAGAGAAATCCCCCAAATGAGATGAAGAAGAGAGTGAGGAGGATAATGAAGATGAAGAGGCAGCAGCAGCATCTGAAACAACAACCCCTGCGCTTCTCCTCCTCTGTGTAAAATGAAGGTGGAAGGTTTCCTTTTCCCAAGGGTTCTGGTGGCTTCTGAACTGGGAGGCCTGGCTCTCTGTATCCAGGTGGTTTTGCCAGAGGTGGTGTTTGAGTCATTCCTGCCAAATATACCAGTATGCAAAGGAAACTTCTATTAAATGTTTCATCGGCACGTCAAACTATGGCAATCCATGAAAACAATTGCAACACATATGAAGGATAGCAATGAAAAAGAAGAGGGCTGGTATTCAAATCAAGAACCCCCAGCCTCCTGGCTCTCTCTCTCTCTCTCTTTCCCAAAGGTAGTACGTTTCTAAGATTGGAGAAATTGAGGTTTTAGGCGGATTTTCGTCAAGAATGATCGGTGCCTGACGTTATGCATGCAAGATTGGATGAACAGGAATCTTAACATTGCTAAGATGATGCATATAATTAGTGAGTATGTTGGATATGTACCTTGGAGGATATATTAAGGTTGTCTCAAAATTTGGTTGATTACCAAATTATGAGCCCGATGGATCAATTAAAGATTTCTGAGGTAAATGCTTAGGTAATGAATGATAAAAATTAGATGGATAAGAAATTAGTATGAGGTGATGGTGAAGGTGAAGGTGGTGGTTTAGGAAGGAAAGGGAAGCTGGGGAAGGGGGGAGGAGGAAAAATGGAGAAAGGGGAGGGGAGGAGGGGATTGGCGAAGGTGGTGTGGTGGCGGAGGGAATGGTTAATTTTGGGAGGGGTGTTTGTTTAAAAGACTTGGGGAGGAGGACAGCAAGGGGTGTTGTGATTAGTGGCAGAAATTTAACTGCGGATTCACGCGCGGTTCTAATTTGCTGACCATTTGCCAGGGGATTTCAACTTAGATTTACTCCTTAGTCCTTAGTGGAGCACTGGTTGGTTGCTTCAGTATTTGAGTTTAGCTCCTTTAAAACTCTTAAATAGATTGAATTTTATTCAATATAACTTTAACTTGGCCATAATTTGGTTCATTATTTAATTGAACTTTAACCTAGAACCTATCCAACCTAAAACCAATAAAATACTAGATAACCTGGATTATTAATTTTAGGACGACTCATCCTAAAATTAATAATCTAACGATGAGTCATTCTATCTCATCCAGTCCGTGAATCAGTCGAACCTCTAAGTGGAGCACGGGTTGCTTTAGTATTTGGGAATGCTAGATACAAGACGTAATTCATGTAATCCGAAATTTCTCAAAAGAGTTATTGATCTGCTTCGAAAGGAGTTTTTACCACTCTTTTGACTCGGCCACACAAACCATTAAGCTGGTTAAACATTTGGATTTGAAAACTTCTAAGTAATTTTTTTTTTTTTTGTCAGTTGTCACTTATCTACTCTACACCTACTTCTACTCTAATCTATTTTAAAGGAGAGAGGCCAACTGGGTCTATTGGAGAATTGACAGAGACTGAACCACCATCGAACCAATTGAATGCACTGTGCAT